TAATTACTACATTAAGTGTAGTCAATAATCTGATATGCAATCGAAAATCGAGACGTATTAGTCTACAACATAAGGAAGTTTGCATTGAACGTTCATGACAATGAAATGAGTTTTGAAGTATTTGAAATATACTCCAAATTATGCTTTGCACTATAATAAGTATCCCACGATAATAGAGGGGTATAGTGATGCAAATTAGATCACCGGTTCAACCGATTCTAAACAGTCGGTGGATGAGCGATGTCTTGAAAATCGTCCAAACAAATGTGCATTGACCGCTCTACAGTGGAGGCTGAGTTTATAGCCTTAGACAAGGCCGGTGAGGAAGATGAATGGCTCCGGAATTTCTTGGAAGGTATTCCATTTCGGCCCAAACCTCTGGCACCTATATGTATACATTGTGATAGTCAAGCGGCAATAGGTAGGGCAGGGAGCGTTATGTATAACGGAAAATCTCGTCATATCCGACGGAGACACAATACCGTTAGACAACTACTCTCTAGTGGTTTTATCACAATTGACTACGTAAAGTCAAGAGATAACGGTCGGATCCACTTACAAAAGGCCTATCTAGAGAGGCAGTTGAAAGATCATCAAAAGGAATGGGGTTAAAGGCCTAGGACAAGTCATCATGGCGGTAACTCTACCTAGCAGACTGGAGATCCAAAGAGCTAGGTTCAAAGAGATCAAACAAAGTTATGAATGACGGTTCAATATTGTCAACTAACTCAACCCATTCTCGTGATGAAGACAATGTTCAAAAAACGAGGTAAAGCATTAAGGCTTTTTTGATGAGTCAATAAAGCTTAAAGCTTTTTAATGATTTGCTAAGTCTGGCAGGATATGACCAGATAGTGTGTCTTTAGAATTACGCGTTTAGGAATCACCTATGTGAGTGTGAAGTGTAAGCCGGTTCAAGGAGAATGAAAGTAAAGGCCCATTCTCTAAGCACTCATGAAACCAGGCGGTGTTCATGGCTGAAACGAACACAACCGTGAGAACCATAGATGGTTAATGATTAATTGTGTGACTTATGTTGTCTAGGTATACAACAAAGCTCGACGGTTCAAAGATATCAAATCTACCGATTGACCGAGTATATCCGATATAAGTTACTACGGAAAGTTCAATGGGAAACCTACTTATCCAGATGCAATCAATTCTTGTTTGTAAAACACATACACATCCGTGCATTCCTTTAAGTTTATAGCCATTCCCCATTCATGTGGGGGATTGTTGGGTTTGTTATTTAATAAATAATAACAAAAGAGGTGTGAATGGAAAATGGTGGAAAAAGAAATGGAGGGATGACCCGCGACCCGGTCTGGTCTAGCCCGTTTTTCTTTCCTGGATTAATTTAAATTCATTTTAAATTTCCCGTAAAAATTTCCAACAGCCATGACTATTCTGAAAGGTTGCAAACCTCTTCATAGGGTCACACCTGTTCCAACAGCCATGACTGTTCTGAAAGGTTGCAAACCTCTTCAGAGGATCACACCTGTTCCAACAGTCATGACTATTCTGAAAGGTTGCAAACCTCTTCAGAAACATCACCAAGTTGGCTATAAATAGACCTTCAGATCCCAGAATATTTACTTACTAAATTTTGTGAATCTTCTTCTTCTCCTGCACAAAATATTCCAGTGTGTTTTACGACCATCGAGTGGTTCGCCGATCACCAGAGTTTTAGGTACCGATACACTGGTGAGTTAAATCGTTCTATCCTGGGAGGATATATTCCATAACCTCGGGTACTTGAGGGGAATAATTTCCTTAAGGACACACTGTGTATTCAGTGGGCTCGATTTGTTCCTTCAACATTTCAAAAATTATTTTGAAGTTCGAATATTATTTTTCAGAATTGTTTCTACTAACTTTCTGTTTTATTTTTGCAGAAAGATTACTGTTTTATTTAATTACAGCAATACAGATAAATAACAATCTTAAGGAAATTATTTATTATATTCTGTATTCTGTCTGAACTTTACTATTCTGATTTGAAGATATAAAAACTTCATCAGGATATTGAAATTCAGAAAACGATTTGAAGAACATAAAAACTTCATCGTTTTTCTGTAAAACAGTATATAAAAACCTTAGTTGTTTTTATTACGTACTGTTTATTGATTACAGTATTATTTACTGTTTTGGTTTTGCCATTAATTGATTTCTTCTGTTGTTGACAGTAAGAAATGGCAAATGAAAATGGAAATCCTTCTGCGACTGTTGGTGCAACGACGATAGCCTCGTCAAGCCGCACTGCTGTTCCTCCGGCTGAGAAACCGGGAAAGTCGTAACGTTTGGATAAATTGTTTAGTAAACAATGACATGCGAGATTTGACCAAATAATATTGTCAATTGGTTTCAAAAATTAATGTGTGTAAACAAATGTGTTTACGTTAAGAATACTTCAAATCATATAGTCATTATTTGATTATATATGATATGTTGATGAAATATTTAAAATGTGGGGGCTTCTAGCTTATGCATGACAAAAGCCAATGTTAGACGTAATGTCTAAATTATATAATTTTTGAACTCCATTGATATGGTAGTTGGTAAATTCATCAACTGTTTAGTCTTAATGAAGACTAGATGATAAAACTACTAATTCGGAAGTTGGTCACGTGCCTTTCTCGAAAGATCATTTTCTTTATTGAAAATTTATATTGTTTAGTTCTTTTATGAATGATGTCACTTTGAAGGTTGTGAATTTTCATAGAAAGATATGTTTGTATGTTTTGTATAAACATGACCGTTCATGAACGAACGTATTAATATGTTGGTCTATAATGAGGTGAACCAACTGATGAACATGATCAAAATCTATTGCAAGTTGGATTTGTTTCATGAATGAGTGTGCTATAATTTGCATATCATATAGACGTATGAATGAATATCATACAAATGCTTGAAAATGACGGAATGATTGCGAAATGTGTTATATATTAAAAGGTTGTGGCCACAACTGATGCCAATCATTCCAGCTGTTGTTATAATTACTACATTAAATGTAGTCAATAATATGATATGCAATCGGAAGTCGAGACATATTAGTCTACAACATAAGGAAGTTTGCATTAAACGTTCATGACAATGAAACGAGTTTTGAAGTATTTGAAATATACTCCAAATTATGCTTTGCACTACAATAAGTATCCCTCGATAATAGAGGGGTATAGTGATGCAAATTAGATCACCGGTTCAACCGATTCTAAACAGTCGATGGATGAGCGATGTCTTGGAAATCGTCCAAACAAATGTGCATTGACCGCTCTACAGTGGAGGCTGAGTTTATAGCCTTAGACAAGGCCGGTGAAGAAGCTGAATGGCTCCGGAATTTCTTGGAAGATATTCCATTTTTGCCCGAACCTTTGGCACCTATATGTATGCATTGTGATAGTCAAGCGGCAATAGGTAGGGCAGGAAGCGTTATGTATAGCGGGAAATCTCGTCATATTCGACGGAGACACAATACCGTTAGACAACTACTCTCTAGTGGTGTTATCACAATTGACTACGTAAAGTCAAGAGATAACGTGTCGGATCCACTTACAAAAGGCCTATCTAGAGAGGCAGTTGAAAGATCATCAAAGGGAATGGGGTTAAAGGCCTAGGACAAGTCATCATGGCGGTAACTCTACCTAGCAGACTGGAGATCCCAAGAGCTAGGTTCAAAGAGATCAAACAAAGTTATGAATGACGGTTCAATATTGTCAACTAACTCAACCCATTCTCGTGATGAAGACAATGTTCAAAAAACGAGGTAAAGCATTAAGGCTTTTTTGATGAGTCAATAAAGCTTAAAGCTTTTTAATGATTTGGTAAGTCTGGCAGGATATGACCAGATAGTGTGTCTTTAGGATTACACGTTGAATCACCTATGTGAGTGTGAAGTGTAAGCCGCTTCAAGGAGAATGAAAGTAAAGGCCCACTCTCTAAGCACTCATGAAACCAGGCGGTGTTCATGGCTGAAACGAACACAACCGTGAGAACCATAGATGGTTAAGGATTGATTGTGTGAGTTATACTGTCTAGGTATACAACAAAGCTCGACGGTTCAAAGATATCAAATCTACCGATTGACCGAGTATATACGATATAAGTTCACTACGGAAAGTTCAAAGGGAAACCTACTTATCCAGAGGCAATCAATTCTTGCTTGTAAAACACACACACGTCCGTACATTCCTTTAAGTTTATAGTCATTCCCCATTCATGTGGGGGATTGTTGGGTTTGTTATTTGATAAATAATAACAAAAGAGGTGTGAATGGAAAATGGTGGGAAAAGAAATGGAGGGATGACCCGCGACCCGGTTCGGTCTAGCCCGTTTTTCTTTCCCGGATTAATTTAAATTCGTTTTAAATTTCCCGCAAAAAATTCCAACAGCCATGGCTGTTCTGAAACAGTGTCACACCTGTTCCAAGAGCCATGACTATTCTGAAAGGTTGCAAACCTCTTCAGAGGGTCACACCTGTTCCAACAGTCATGACTATTCTGAAAAGTTGCAAACCTCTTCAGAAATATCACCAAGTTGGCTATAAATAGACCTTCAAATCCCAGAATATTTACTTACGAAATTTTCTGAATCTTCTTCTTCTTCTTCTGCACAAAATATTCCAGTGTGTTTTACGACCATCGGGTGGTTAGCCGATTACCAGAGTTTTAGGTACCGATACACTGGTGAGTTAAATCGTTCTATCTTGGGAGGATATATTCCATAACCTCGGGTACTTGAGGGGAATAATTTCCTTAAGGACACACTGTGTATTCAGTGGGCTCGATTTGTTCCTATAACATTTTTCCAGAATTTATTTTGAAGAAGTTTACTGTTTTCGGAATTTAATTTCTACTAACTTTCTGTTTCTGTTTTCAGAAAGATTATTATTTAATTTACAGCAATACAGATATATAACACGTAACAGATGGTAAATTAAAATATTTCACATAGTAGAGAGGTAAATTTGGACCTTTTTCCCTAAGTAATTTTATCCAAACCTTCAGGATGTGCCAACTGATGTGAGGAAGTTGGGGCAACCATAATAGGAGCCGAAGTCTTGTGACCGAGTATAACAGTTGACATGTCTATCCTGCTCACATCAACAAGTATTCTTGGCCGAATACTAAATTTCTGAAAAGGTTAGTACTATGATCTCTGTTGCCAAATCAAGAGCAAAAATTCTACAAACTTACGTGATTCTACGAAATGCTTCAATATTTTCATTTAGTGTATACTGATCCTCAGCTCCTCCAGCAAAGAAGTCATAGTACATCTTTGGAAGAGCTTGCTTAGCTAGCTCTTGAAATTCATTCACATTAACTGGTTCACCTGCCATTTTAGCCTGCACACACCAGCATTCCTATGTCAAATATCTCTAATTTGAGACACTAAAAACAAGACATAAATTTGAGGTTTTGAAGTAAAAGCATATAGTACCTGTAGGACACAGAGGAGTTCACAGCTCAAACTTGCTAATGGCTGTAGTTGAACTTAAAAATAGCCTTTTTGAATTGCGCTGCGTGTACAAGCCACTTCTCCACTTGGATAGCTTTTGTTAAAACAACTTTTAAATGATTAGCAGCATTTCAATCTGTGTTTTGGAAGTTTCCGTTTGTCTTTTTAATATTATACAGTAAGTATTTTGATCTAGCATCAACAGGGTAATACTTGATATCATGCCCGTGCCACAAGTGGAGCTACTTTTGTCGATTTCATGTGATTGCCTAAGAATTGTAACTTCATGGGTTTGCATATCCATGTAAAATCAAAAGAAGAAAACGAACAGAAAAGAAAAATGACAAAAGAAATGAAGAAAAAGAGGCAGAGAGATAAAGGGGAAAATGAAAGGTGAAAGGGACAGGACAAGGAAAAGATCAAGAAGGGCGAGTACAAAAGGGAGAACTTGAGTAAACCGCGTGATGTACAATTTACTTTTTCCGTTCAGTTATCAAATTCTAGCAATAAACTTGACGGTAATGAAGATTTCAGCATATGAATTGATTGGAATTTGGACTACTGACTTTAAATGCATCCCAGGTCATATAGAATAATGGTAGTGATATATTGTGTCTTTTTCGTTTTCTTGAGCCAAGGATTTATCTGAAACAATCTCTCTACTTCCATCCGGGCAGGGGTCGTTGTTGTTGTTGCATGTCATATAGAATAAGACAAGAACAGGAAAATAAAGTCCTTGGTAAAAAAACAAAAAACTAATAGAAACCCATCAATAAACTTAACATCTGAGAAATTACGGGCTCTCTCGAAATTGTTTGTAGTCAAAACATTAAACCCTTCCTTTTACCATACCATCCTAAAATAGGACGTACAAAATTCGTTGTCATTCAGCCTTTCCCATGGAAGCAGAATTCATTCAATTCTTTCATGGCTCAAGACGCTATTGAGATAGAAAGAAAGCAGCAAAACTCATTCTAGTGGACACCGGAAATTGTACACTAGAATTTGTATTTTGCTTTAAATTCTCGAAGTCGTGATCTTTCATCTCTGGAACTACAAAAAACCTCAACGGAAGTGCTGACGTTAACTAACAAGATCCAAGAAAAGGACCATATGTCAAATAGAATGAAACTTGATATCATTTCTGAAAATTTAGTAACATAGTTCATCCATCACGCTTCATTTCCTCTCTTTTACACTTAAAAACTGGCATGGCTCGACTAGCAACCACAGCTGGAAAGCACACACTACACATGCCGGACAACTGAACTCTCAGGTGGTCGTCTGGGTGACAGAAGGGGCATATCAAAAGTATCTTCATCACTGAGCTGCATCTTTATGGCAACATCACCAAATCTTTGTTCTAACCCAGAAGAGGAGAATGACAACTCCAAGGACAATAGCAACAGGCGCCCATTTCCGAATCAAAGCCTAAAGGCGTCAAGAAATGAATTAGTAATTAGAGCACGTAAAAGAACCAGATGCGCATGCATAACGAGAAAAAGTGAGCCAATAACCATCAGTTACATAGGTTGCTCATCTTTGAGGGTATCTGATAACAAGGTACCTAAATCGAGAACCAGAAAGAGAAACTATATATGATAAACTGAAGCGTAGTTGACGATTGAACTAGTCTAAGGCAAAACTAGTCCAGCCAACGACTAATCCTAGTGCAAGTAGAGCTGAAATGGAGTGATTTTCATAGGTGATATATCATGTAAAGGATTTTTGTTCACATTCTTAAGCCATCCAGCTGTGTGATCAGCAAGAGAAAATTCATTCATACTAACAACTGCACAAGTCAAGCCCCATAAATTTCAACATGACATTGCTGAAAATACTAATGAACATAGGTATAGCTTCTATCTGCATTTAATTCTTTCTGAAACATTGTAAATGCAACATGACTCGTGCATTCTAAGGGAACCCAAAGAATGAACACCGAGTTTTATGTTCTTTCAGATCCCTGTACAGCTTTACCATTCCTACTAGCTAAAAGTGAAAGTACTCAAACAAAATTATGAGGTCATCATCTAGTGAAGCCGATGAAACTAACCTGACGATTCAAATCTTTCGCTTTATCAGCATATATCCGGGATTCAGATGTCAAGCGACTAGACATCTGACTGACCTCTGCAAAAATTGATACATAGACAAGCTAGTCACCTACTATGATCATAAATTGTACAGAGAACAGGACAATGAACATGGGAAGGGTGAAGATAGAGGGAGAACCAACTATATAAAAAACCATACATCATCATAAGTGCCTGATCAATGTCAAAGCTACAAATCCTACAACTGACTAATGCCATGTGCCTTTCGGATTTAGAAAATGCCAAATATTGTGAGAATGATGCAACTCTTAATTCAATTTGCACAGAGTTGGATTTGGGTCCACTAGTTTTGCACCAAAATCATCATAATTTTTCTCAAAAGTAGAGCCAAAACGCACTTTTCTTTAGCATGGACTTATTGATTCCATAATAAAATCTCATCGCACAAGTTCAGAACCATTCCTACTTCATCTTAAATTAGCACAACACTAAAACCAAAAATTGTTATTTTCTGTCTTCAATAAAGCGTATAACCTGCAGCCTAGACAATTATAACTCAAGGGGTCGTTTTGTTCGCATACTAGTTGTACGGGGATTATTTTAACGCATGGATTATTTATGCGGGATTATTAAAGGACTGTTATGCAGTGATTAATAATGAGGAGACTGTTATTCATGGATTATTTACTTAAAAGGGCAGTTTCGTCTTCAAATAATTTAATCCCTGCATTGCTAATACACGTATTCATATATCCCCCATAAGTTTAACACATAAATTCTCGTATGACATAATGTATGTATTATTTAATACTGCTAACCAAACATGCGTTAGTTACATCAAGACATATAAACTACGTCTTAGAGTTGTGATACACTACCAAATACACACTTGAAGTTCTGGAAGGAAATTCTAGGAGGCATCAATAATTTAAAATTTATAGAGGCTACTATGGGAAAAAAAAAGGTCCATCATTAACTCATAATTGAGGGTAACAATATCAATCAACTATGTCCTAATCGCGAATTAATAGGGTTTTTCTGTAAGAATCGTTTGTATCCACTCTGCTCTATTCAGGCCTGTTTCATTCCAATAATAAATAAAAAACATTAACACAAATTAAGGGTTCTTTGAAAGAATAGATTCTCTAATTCATACACTTATTGTACAAGGACATACAAGTCTCTAACCAGACTAGAAATACTCCTTACAAACACCAGAAGTAATGTAAGAGGAATGACACAAACTCAATGTTGATATCAATTGATTGGTATTGCTTATATAATAAACTGAAAAAACAAATTAACAACAAAATGCTTTTGAGATTATCAAATTGAAGAAATCCAGAACGACGTGCTAACGTTAATATAAGGTACTGAAGATCAGGAAAATGTCAGAATAAGAAACTTACGATCCAACTTTTCACCAACACCAAGAACTTCTTGTACATTTCGAGTCATTATCTGATGAACTTCATAAAGCTCATCATTCAACTTAGAAATATTGCGTTGAGTTCTTGTATCCTGGTACAGTTTCTTCGTCTTCTGTATGAATGTATCTTTTTACAACAGGGAAAAAACACATCACACAAGTATTAGAAAATCCGTGTCAACGAAATATAATTGGAATGCAGAAGCATAAAAAGAACATAATAGCTTACCAAATTTAATAAACGCATAGGGTCTAGCAGCAGTTTCAATTTGACTCCCATTTACACGCTCAAACTCATTCTTAAGGTCCTCCAAGTATTGAAAGGCAAGTTTCTTGGGATAAGAGCGATCACACATTGTCAAATAACAAACATGTCCTTCAATGATATAACTGAGAACACGGGTTAAGAGAATACAAGATACATGGGAGGTACTTATTCAAGAGGGAGCATAAGAGACAGTAGATCAAATATTACAGATAGTTCAGAAAGTACACATGACTAAAGAAGTAGTAAAGGCAACAATGGTTACTCCGAAAGTTCACATATACTTTGAACTGCGTTAATGATTAAGATGCCAAAACATCCTTTAGATTTCATATTCAGTCAGGCATGTTAATGATGAAATTGATGCTACTCATAAATCCAGGAAAAAACACTAAAAATACAATGATTTAGCTGTGAAATCTTATCAGAGGGAAAAACTATTAACCAGACCAAAAGAATGAATGTGGAAAATGGGACCAAGAGTATTTAACAGCTTCTACACATCCAAGGCAAAATCTCATTCATCAAAAGCACTAAGCCAGCCACACTGATCATTTCTGAAAAAATCCAGAGAACTCCATCTTGTCTGTTAAATTCCAACCGAAAAAAGAAGTTAAGGACTATGAATGCTGAACATTCCATCAACTAGAATTTTCTAATAGGTATTGTGACTTGGTAGAGTTTTCAAATTGAAATACCCCCAATAACAAGTACAGACAAGGGACAGAGTGATTACTAAAAATGTTAAATATTCATTAAAAGTCTCTAACGAATCCCACCCCCTCCCCTCGCAAAACGCTATCAGAAGAAATAACTTGTCAAGCTCTTGCTGAATTCTCTCGTGCTTCGAGAGTGAAATCAAGACACATCATAATGTTGACCCATAAGTAAACAAGTGGTATCACTTCGAAAAGTACATGATTAAAAGGATACTGGAAGATATAAGGTCCAGTTTCAATAGACATCCTTGAAGCGTCATTTTGGCGCATTGCCAGGTTCTTGAATAAGGCCTTGACCTGTTGTTTGTAGAAATCTGCATCTGGAACATCACGACCGTCGTCCAGACCCTCCGCTAACGGAAGGCCATCAGTCACACGAGCAATGAGAGTCAACTTCACCATCTTTCTTCCCCAAGCATATAACTACAAGCGAACACAAAAGGTGAGAATTGAACTTTTTGCCGTCTTAATTTCTAATAGGATCATCTATGTCAAACAAACTCCCACGAATGACAACAACTTCTTTTTTATTTTATGACAGTGGTGTTCGGGCCAGCTTGCAAGCACCTTGACTGTTCCACTAGGTACCTACTACATAGATACTAGGTAACTCTACCGGGAAGAAATCACCAACACTTTTTGCTTCCGCTGCAATTTGAATCTGAGATATCATGGTTCTCCTCTGACTTCATTGACCACCATGATACACCCTTGGGTCCCACAAATGACAATAACTAACTAATGCATTTACTTTGTCAATGCAAATGTTCGCTTTCTATGAGTATCAAATAAAAGTAAAACACCAACTATGTACATTTTTTAACAATAGAAGTCAAATTCTATAAA